GTTTATAGGGTTTGGGGCTTAGGGGTGTAGGGTTTAAGGTTTAGGGTTCTTAACCCGAAACCCGCTTTATTTTCTAGGGGTTTAAGAGGGTTTGATAGAGGTTTTGGGCTTAAGGCCGTTCAGGGCTTCGGGCTTGGCTTCGGGCTTAGGCTTAGGACCCATGAAACGGCGTGTCAAATTAGGAGCTTCGATCCATCCTGCACATGGCGGTTTCGGAAAGCAGGGGAACCCACAAGAGAACCCTAAATAGCAGGATGCTTCTTATAAGAACCCCCTTAACAAAAAAGTGCGAAGCTACCCGAGGTTTCACTCTCGTTGCAATAAATCCTTGCGGAATGAGCCTTTTCAAGGCTTTATAGGGCATTATACAGGCATTATGGCTCTTCACAAGGAGTTTATGATCTTCCCAGAGACTCCAATATCCCTTAATTAAGGAATATACCCTAAATTATAGTAGGATCCCAAATATGATTTGAAGGTATACTCCTTAATTAAGGGATATTGGAGTCTCTGGGTTCTGCAAGCTCAGGGAACTTGTGGCTTCAAGCCCGCAAAACTGTATGGGGCTTGAGACGGCCTGGTTTAGGGTTAGGGTTTAAGGTTTAGGCCAAGGGCTTCGGGTTCAGGCCTACCTGAAGCCCTCAAACCCTTTCTACAAGGGCTGACGCTTCCTGATGTGGGGTTGCATGGTTGGGGGAGGATCTAGCGGTTCGTTATTTGAAAGGGGCCTGGGTTCGGAACCTAGATCAAGGGTTTAGGGTTTGGGGGTTTAGGGGTTTAGGGGTTTAGGGTTTAGGGTTTGGGGTTTAGGACCTAGATTAAGGACCGGGGGTGTCTAAGGGCTGTTGGACTCTCTGGGTACATGTCCCCTGAAGGGCCAGTAATGCAGAACTGGCATCACGGATCGTCCCGTTGTCCCGTTGTAAGGAGCACTCTTTCTGCCAGAGGATGGGTCGACTCATGTCTACATTGCCTGATTCAGCTCTTTGAGAACATGTCTTCCGAAAACGACCCTGAGCCCCCAATCCAAAACCCTAGTCCTAAAAACCCAGCGCGACAAATAAGCCCTGGCTTCAACCCCACGCCCTACGGTTGATGGTATAAATCCTGCATTACCCATAATAAGGAATATACCATAATTCCGATAGTTTCGGGTCCTTCAAGAATGCAAAAACGTCTTCTTAACACACAACAAGCAGAAAGCCACAATATGTCGCATTTGGTGAAAAGAAAGCACAGTAAGCCCTCTTTTAAGGCTTTTTTGCACGCCAAATGGCGACACGTAGATGCATGCATGGTGCACACTTGGACAGTACGCGCAATGCAAATCATTTTTCTTGGCCATTGCACGGTGGTCTCCCCCGCCCAAAAGCTTCTCAAGCTCTTCTCGAGCTTCTCGGAACTGTGATGGGCGATCTCAAACTTCTGATGATGCACAGAATTTGTGTCATCAGCAGTAGTTGCCTAAACCCCCAAACCCTGAACCCTAAACCCCTAATCCCCAAGTCCCAAACCCTATAAACCCTATAAACCCACATCAAATAGTACTGGTAATTATTTAGGCCCCTACATTAGATCCAGGAGGATGGCCAAAACTCCGGCTTCTGTCTGAGCTCATGGCGGTGTTCATTGACTTCTCCCACTCCTCAGCCACGGTTGATCTTTCCAACAGGCTGAGGCGGTGTTATTCTTGTGACATGGGTTTTAATTATATGGTATCATATGGTTTCATCAAACAGGTTTTATACCGTCTTTGCGTTGGGATTTCGGGCGCATCCACAGGGCGTGGTTTAGGATCCAAGCCAGTTTTAATAGAATCTAACACCCTGCTTTTGAGGAATAAAGCTCCCATGTAAGAACCCCTGAAACATGCAAATAGCTTTTCGGCTCCCTGGGTGGTTCTGAAGCTGCGAATACTCCCAGCTGACTTGTCCCCATCCTCACTCATGCTTTCAGGTGCCCTTAATACGAGTGAATGCCCAATGCTCTCAGCGCTTGAAGAAACTGCGCTTGTCGCTGCGGCTTCGAAGACACGAAGACCAATAAAGCGATGCTACATATTTACATCTGTACTTATGTATATATATATATATGTATATGTACGTCTGCATGTCTGTCTGTCTGTCTGTCTGTCTGTCCGTCCGTCCGTCTGTCTGTCTGTCTGTCTGTCTGTCTGTCTGTCCGTATGTATGTACCTATGTATGCATGTATGCATGCATGTATGCATGCATGTATGCATGTATGTATGCATGTAGGCATGTACGTATGCATGTATGTATGCGAGTTTGTATATATGTATATATGTATGTATGTATGCATGCATGTATGTATGTATGCATGTATGCATTTGTCGAAATACATGTATGGGCAAATGTGCCTCTGTGTGTGTATAGTGTATACATGCGTATATATATATATATACATGCTATGTACGCTCTCTCTCTCTCTCTATATATATATATATATTATGAATTATATATACCCTTATCTATTTATGTATTGATGTATTTGTTTATCAGTGACTCTGTGGCCCTAAGCCCTGAACCCTAAAAGCTTATAAACCCTGAACCCTGAACCCTAAACCCTGAACCCTAAACCCCAAACCCGAAAACCTTGACCCTTAACCCTACACAAACCCAGAACCCGCGGGATCCCCTACGAAATCTAAGGGTTGAAGGTCTAAGGTTCGCTGTCTTGGACCCCTCGTCCCGGAGGCGTGGTTCTGGGTTTGTAGCTCAGGGGCTTACTTGGTGGATCATGGGACTTAGTAAGTGAGGGTACACGTACCCTAAATGGGGTTATAATTGTAGTTACCTGATTTATAACCCTAGTCACTAAGTCCCATGATCCTCCAAGCAGTATTTATATAGGCTTTAGGGTTCAGCGTTTAGGGGCTCAGGGTTTAGGGTTCTGAGTTTAGGGTGGCGTTCACGGCTTTCAGGTTTTAGGGCTTCGGCTTTAGGGCCTTGTAGGGTTGAAAGAGTCTGTAGGGTTTAGGGTTTAGGGTTGAGGGTTTAGGGTTTAGGGTTTAGGGTTTATAGGGCTTATAAGGTTTGGGGCTTATTGGGTTTATAGGGTTTAAGGTTTTAGGGTTTAGGGTTCAAGGTTTTAGGGTTTATAGGGATTACAGGGTATTGGGGTTTATGGGGTTTAGGGTTATAGGGTTTAGGGTTTAGAGGGTGTAGGGGTTTGAACAAATAGTCTGAAACCCTAAACCCTAAACCCTAAACCCTGAACCCCAATGAGCCAAGCATCCTTTCTCATCTGGGGAGTCTGGGCCAACATGTCCTGGACAACCGGATTCAGCCGCTTGAAGAGCGTCCTGGGAGGTTTAGGGTTTAAATAGGGTTTAGGGTTTAGGGTTTAAGGGACAGTTTTATACAGGCGTTTCAAAGGGCTTTGGAATGGCGTTCAACAGGGCCTTGTAGCTACAAGGGGTGCAACAGGATCTCGTAGAGATTTTATGCGTTAAGGGTTCTTTAAACAATTTTGCGGCATTGAAAAGGTCTTCATAATCGGACTTAGTTCGAGGAGTCTCGGCGTCTCTGATTACGCGGAAGGTCTCGCACAACGAGCAAAGTGACCACTGTAATATACAGGGGCCTGACTAGCAGGGAGGGGGTTGTGTAGGTGTTTTGGGGGTCTTGGCGGAAAATATTGAATTGGTATTTAGGATTTACGGCCCAGGAAGCTCCATCAGGGCCAGCACTAGCGGACGCTGTGCAATGCCTTTGTGCGCAAGCACACATGTCATCACAGGGTTCATTGATGGTTAGTGT